GATTGCCGGGGGGCCGGGGGGCTGAGCGCCGGCCGCCCGCGCGAGTGCTGCGAGTGCATCCGTGCTCACGCGGCAAACGCAGCGGCAGGGCGGCCGCGGCCCGGCTCTGGGGCCCGGTCTGGATTCCCCTGGTGCAAAACCGCACTGCACCCGGCGGAGGTGGCTGCGCCGGGAAGGTGAAGAAAATGCCACTAGCTTTGAGTGTTTCGGGGCTGTTTCGGGGCTATTCGGGTGACTCATTCCCCGTGTCCCCACCACGCACGACTCGCGGCTTACCTTCTCGTAAGGGCAGTAGCGGTACTTCTTGATCGGACTTGTGCAGATGAACACGTCGGTGCTGCCACGACGAGAGAAAGGGGGTGAGGATATCACTCGGTGACCAAAGACACCAATGCACCCTGCTGCCCCCTTGGCTGCACCCCGGCTGCTTCTGCGAGACCCCGCTTGGTGGCCGAGCGAGTCGTCACCCCGAAGAGACCTCCCTCCCAGGGGCAGGTCAAGTGGGGGCGATTTAGGATGTTAATCCCCCATCTCCCAGGACTTAATCCAGCAACAGAGTCAGGACGTGCACCCACAGCCAGAGCACAGGCGCTCTTCCCCTTTTGCCGCCCTCGCTGGGAGCAGAGCTGCAGGCAAGGAGATGCAGGAGGCCGAATCCTTGGGGGCTGCTCTGTGAGTCAAACCCCTCCGTTTCCCACCCACACCCAGCAGGCTGGTGGGCATTTTTTATGCTGACGTTGTATATGATGCTTCTGCTGGGAGGCGGATTAGCCTGCAAAGCCACGGCTGCCCCCTCCTTCATCCCTGGCTGCAACGCGGACGGCTCCTACTCACTCTGCCAGGTTAGCCATTTGCTTCACAGCTTCCACAGCCCCGGGGAGTGGGTCCAGCTCGATGAAGAAGTTCTTTGATTCCCAGATGCTGATGGCTTTCTCCTGGGAGAGGAAAGAGACCTGTTACTGCACAGCGCTTCTTGCTGCTCTTTTCCCTGCACGTGCATCTTCCCACCCTTTGCTAGGAGAGAAGATCATGACAGCAATACAGGCGGGTGTCTGGCTGGGGAGTGCCGGCTCTGTTCCCCTCCTGCTAGCCCACCTCCCCTCTGGGGTCTCTTATGTTCCCCACCCACCTACCTGCGTCCATCCAGTACGCTTTGGCACGGCGCACCTCTGGAGCAGGGTTGATTTTGTCAGTGCAGCCCCAGACACACAGGGAGCAGCATGTTCCTTCAATACAAAACCCAGAGACTGCCCAGAACGGAATCAAACCCCAGGGAAGTTCGCACCTGGAGCGGCAGTCTGACATGGATCCAGCTGAACTGGCCTGCTACCTCTGCTGTAATGTGATGCTATTCAGCTCAAGACGGTATCTGGCCTATTTGTCTCAATCATATTTAAAATAGCATCCAGGAGATGCTATCCCACAGGAGAAAATGTATTAAAGGAGAAACTCTACGACAGGATCCCTCTTCCTCAGGGATGCCTGGGCAAGGACCACCAGGCAAATGGAGCATCTCCAGGCAAGAGTTTGAAACACGTAACATCCAGAGCTGCAGCCGGGGCTGACACCGTCACAGTGCAAAGGGAGAGCGGAGCAAAGCAGGCGCAGGGAGAGCACACGGAGCAAAAACTTGGGATGAGCAAAGTCTCTCCGGGGGGCTTGCTGCCTCTCAGGCCTCCCCGGTTTGGGGGCAGCCCTTCTGCACCGGCCTCGCAGAGCGCAGACCCGCAGCCCGCCCAGAATCGCGCCCGCCGGGCCGCACTGGGCAGCAGAGCCCAGGGCTGCGTCACGGTGCTGCGAACCAGCTGAGCCACTGCGGAGGCTTTGCTTTCCCTCCTTTGAAGGGAGCCCTGCCCTGAAGGGTTGATCTTGCTTTTGAGCACCTCTGCTGCTTTATTTGGGGCAGGGGAAAAGGGACAACAAGAACTTCAAAGCCCTCCTGGGCTCCTTGTCTTGCAAGGGCGTGGAGGGGGCGGCAGAGCCTCGGGGTAGGAAAGAACAACCTCAGGGATGCTTTTATGCTGGGTTTTATGAGTTCGCAGCAAAAACACGCCAACTAGACTTGCAGCTCCATCCTGCCTGATGACTGGGAATCTCGTCTATCCTACGTTTTGCCTTTACTGCATCTGCACTGAGGAAAGAGCAGACAACCGTAAGCGATTGTGGCTTTGCTGTGAACTAAACGGCAGCAACGCCCCGGAGCAAACGCAAGGGCCATTTTGGGAGTCATATTGTGCTTTATTCTGCTGGCTACCTCTGCTAAGCCACGCTCATGAATCCTAGCACGGTCCAGGCCCAATTTGCCAGCTCTTGCCTGCTTGCGTGAGCATGAACGCACGAACCCGTTGCATATTTGGGTGCCCGCATGCTGAAAATGAATCGTGCTGATTCACGGCAACGGAGCCTGTGGAAATGTCTCCTGTTAGCATGAAAAGAACAGCTACCCTAACAGATTGCCAAGGTGCCCGGCGTACACGAAAACTCCAGTTGCATTGCCTTAAATCGTTGCACAATGATTGTTATTTTTGTTTCAGATGTCAAACGTAGTTGCGCAACAGAGAGAAACGTGGCCTGATTCAGCAAAGCACTTCAAACTGTGCTGAAGTGCTTTCTTACAGCAACGACCTCTGTAGCTATTCTGCTTCCATTTATGCTAAAAAGCATTTTGCACTCAAGCTCCATGGGGGAAGAACTAAGCCCATCTTGAACAAAAAGAGCTGCTGAACTCCCAGAGCCTGGTCAGAAAAACTCCCTGCAATATAAGCTAGTGCTTTGACCAGCAGATGGAAAAATCTCCCAGGCTGCAAAATCCACCATGTGCTGGGCAGGACAGGCCCCACAGCAAAGACGACTTTTGTGATCTTCAACCTCCACTTTTTTTTTTCCTTATTTCTCCCCATGAACGAGCCTGGGGCTGCACGCCGCACACGCCCCCTCCCAGAGCCGGTTCCTTCAGCGTTTTAGTTGCTTTCGCTGCTCTTTCCCGATTTCCTCCAGCAGGTCAATGGCATTCTCTGACGAGGGGAGACGCTAACGGTCCATGCGCTCTTAGCCACAGAGAGGCTCCTACTCTCTTCATCCCTGGTCCAAAAGCCCAGTTGAAATCTAGGCTGCCTTAAGGTCCGTGAGTTTTGCCACTGTTTCAGCCCAAAGGTTTGGGGGTTTTACGTCACCGCGGCAGACACAAGATGAGCGCACCTCATTTAATACATCCAAAGCAGTTACGATCCAGAAAAAAGAAGTGTTGTCCTGCCTTACCCCTGCCAAACTTTTCACGTCCACCTAACTGCATGAATGACAGCCTCTACTTTGTTCACTAATCCCAGCTATAGAGGATACGTTGTTCCTTCAGCTCTTCAAATCGTTTGGGACTCGCTAGTGGGAAAGCACTGGGCCATATGCACGCTCCCTCCCTGGTAGCCGCTGTACCGCTAAAGACAAGAGCACTTCTATTTGCCATAACAGCTTTCAGCTCCTGCAACTACAACCCTTTGTTGACAAAGTACAATATAGAGAGAGCTTTTGCTTTCAGGCTTTAATTATTAAAATGAATCGCAGTAATTTTCAGGCCTGGGAGGGCTTGGGGTTGTTTGATTTTTAAGTAAGCCCTCGTGAAGCATCAATTGCATGCTTTGCGCTCAACTTCTGCACTGCATCCCATCCCTCACGTTGCTGCGGAGGAACTGAATGATCCATCTAGGAACGAAGGCAGCGGCGATTTGGCAGCTCTGTATTTTTCCAGTATCAATCTAAAAAGCGTGGCGAAATCTGAGCTAGAAAAACCCAAGCGCCCTATATCTACCCATGCAGCTACCTAAGTGGCGGAGGGGAAGGCCACAGCCGTGCATTAAAAAAAGCTCAGTTTCTGGAAAAGGGGGGAAACCACTGGAAGCCCTGCTGGGTAGGGACCTCCAGCAGAGTTGTGGTGGGAAGTGCAGCCAGCCCCCGCGGCCCACCCCAGCGCTGCACCC